TCCTGGATGTGTGCTAGAATAATTTTCTCGAACAGCTTGCCTAGGATCGAGGTAAGACTAACTGGCCTATAGTTTCCCGGGTCCTCCTTCCTCCCTTTTTTGAAGATGGGAACCACGTTGGCCCTCTTCCAGTCCTTCGGCACCACTCCAGAGCACCATGAGTGCTCGTAAAGCCGTGCCAGGGGTCCTGCAATGACCCTGGCCAATTCCTTTAGAACTCTAGGGTGGAGATCATCCGGACCGGCTGACTTGAACATGTCCAGCCCCTCCAGAAGCTCCCTAACTAATTCCTTGCTAACCCTTGGCCCAGCTGTGCGTTCCCCGGGGCTCGAGGGGCGCCCAGCAGGGAGGTGGCTGTTCTGGTCCCTACTTAGGAAGACGGAGGCAAAGAAATCATTAAACATGTTAGCTTTGTCGTCTGGTGTGACGACCAAATTTCCCAACGCGTCCTGCAAGGGCCCCACATTATCCGCGACCTTCTTTTTGCCCCCTGTATATTTAAAAAACGACTTATTGTCCTTAATCTGGGAAGCTAGTCCTAATATCTCAGTGGTCAGGGACGATCTAGGCGTAGCTACACTTATGTTCTACCATGGTCATTTCCAATACTTTTGGGTTTTGCTGGCTGCGCCCACCCCTCTTCCTGCTACATGTCAGAGTGTTTTAAGTGTCACCTGAGGCACTGAACTTGGGGAGGGACTGGCTGGGGTATGCCAATACTCCTGCTAGGACCAAAACCAGAGGTTTTTATTTAGAGGGTCTTGCCCTTCCATTTAGGGTCAGACCAATTACTCTATTTGGGGTCAGGAAGGAAATTTACCCCATGGTCAAGCTGGTATATACTGTGAGGAGAGGGGTTTGCCTCCCTTTAGAGTGTGGGGCACAGCCCTCAACCCGCAATCTCATAAGCATATACTGACAACATGTTACAGAAGCAGGCAGGACATGCTGCCCTGCTTTGCCAGTGGCAGGTTAGGTCATTAGGTCTTTGTCATGTCAGGGTTCAGAGCAGTCTTGTATGCAGTTTAGATTATGGATTATACAGGCCTGTTTGGATAGGGATGATTCTACCTCAGGCAGGAGGTTGAACTAGATGACCTCTGGAGGCCCCTTGAAGCATACTTCTCTATGATTCTATGGAAGGACTTTGTTCCAATAATAAGTTTTAATTAGGTGTTAGTGTGATCTGGGTTACATTTTCTGTATGTGACTGCAATCCTTAAAACATGAAGAATGTTAGACTAGCTTTTAAATGTAAGACTCCAGCCCACCTATGATGCTGGCCCCATAAGATATCAATATAAGAAATCCTTGCCCATCTTTCTCATGCAATCCTTAAAAACATGTCAGTCTACTCCAGGTTTATATGCAGTACTAGCTAATTGCCCATAAAGAATGATGAGTGGGGAGAGGGGCAGCTGGGGACAGAGGCCTGTGTCTGGCCCTGCCCCCCCCCACCTTTGGGGCCAGGCCTTCTCCCCCTCTATCCACTGGCCCCACCCCCGCTGTTTGGTTTGTCACCACCTGCAGGGCTTTGGGGGGCCTTGCCCCTTCCCCCCTTCCCTCAATCTGCTCAATTTTCGTGGCCTGTAGGGAGCAGGGGGGATGGGGCCAGCACCCCCCCTCCATCTGCCCCATTGCTACCTGCTGGGGCGGGGAGCATGACAACGTTGGGCAGGAACAGAGGCCCACAGGACCAGGCTCACTCTCCCAACCGTCACCACTTTGGGGCCAGAGCCACTCCCTCCACACCCACCTGGGGACCAGTGGGGACATCTCAGCATCCGACCCTGCCCTCCACACCCCCGAATTCAGGCCCAACCCCGTTCCCCCAACAGCAGTTCAGACCCAGGGCTTCTCCCTCCCATCCCCGACCCCATTGCACCATTGCCGCCTCCTCCACGGAGCAGGGAGGGGACAGATTGAAGCCAGACCAGTTGCAGTGGCCTGGCCCGTCCACTGCCTGCTGTCCCTACTGCTTTATTCACACCGACTGGCGTCCAAGACAGCCAGTCAGGAGTGTGAATAAAGCATTACGGACAGAAAGAATAAGGTTTTAAATCTTCTCTTTACATTTCCAACAGTCCCAAACTAACAATTGTTGAGATATACCCTCAACTGGTCTTGAAATCACATGACATTAAATTAGTGAAGGAGCTGGAGTTGAAAAAAAAAAAACTTTGAAGACATGCTTTAAGCAGGTCCTCTGTTAGAGAGCTAAAAATTTGGGACTACAAGGGAAGGAATATTCAAGGCTAGAAACTAAAACTTTCTGATTTACGTGTTGAGCTGCCTCATACCTCACAAAAGTCCTTTTCTTTATCATATTAGGAATTACTGCATAAACTTTGGTAGCTGAGCACTCTGAATCTCCTCTATTATTCCCACCTAAACAAGATAACTTTTTACCCTAGTATATTCTCATGAGGGGGTCCCTAACTAGAAAAGGTTTAACTGAATGGCACAATCCTTTATCATTTCTAAAACCCATGCATCTCTAAGTAATGTTTTGCAGTACTTTATCTGAATGGCAAACAAAGTCTGATACCAAGCAGAGAAGATTCAACTACAGGACGCTTTGTTTCTGCTCACTAATTTAAAGTATCCCTTGTTGCTACTACTTGCACAAGTGACATGCATGGGCATAACAACAGATGATCAGGTTAGTGATAAAGCTGTCCATAATACCTGAAGAAAGGCCCTAGTAATCCTCCAAAAACCTATGGAACATGTAATGTTCATTTTGTCCACAATTTTACATGTTTCATTGCTCAAAAGTTTGTCTCCTTCAAATGGGAGATCATCTATACTATATTTTGCTTCTGGTGGTAAACATCTGGGAACACTGAGGAGAGGGGGAGAGGGGCAAAAAGAACTTGTGAATACTCTAGTGAGCACTGCTATTAAAAGGTTCCACTGTCTAGATTTAACCCTTTCATAAATAGGAATATGCAGAAGACAGACTAAAACTAGTCTGAGTGGTGCAGAATTTAATTAAACTGCTTCCTAATTTTAACAGACCTAAAGTTTTTTTTGCTTCAGATATTTCTTAATTTTCATTATTTGTCTTAATTATATTTCAAAAAACCAACATACCCGCAAATCTTTCACTTCTTCTTGTTGCTTCAATTTTTCATAAAATGAGGTGAAAAAGTCACTTCTTTCCACATGTCTTGGTGCAACACACAATGCATCTATATCAGCACCTAACACACAGATTAATTAACAAAGTTATATAAATAAACCACACGGAGTACTCTAAGTGGCTTTTAACAGAATTCTTGCAAGGAAAAAAATAAAAAAAAAATAAAAAAAGATACCGCCATTCCTCATTTTGCTCTGTTCAAGCACAGGATATTTCAAAGTATTATAACAGGAACTGAAGCTATACTAATTATCCCTGCACCTTCAAAAAAACAAAATACCTTTGATTTCAGCATTTTCACTTCTCAGTAGGCCTGTGCGAAGCAGCTACTATTTTGCTTTGGATTCGGCCAATTCGGGGAACAGTCATTCAACCTGGTAATCCAAATCGCTGTCCCAAACCGATTCGGCTGAATCCAATTAAAGGATTCAGCTGCCACCGAGTCAGCCAGGCCCCATCCCCTGCCCACTCTCCCAGCCCTGTCAATGGTTGCCCTGCTGGGCCCCAGCCTCCCGGCTCTTAAAAAAACCCAAAAAGCCTGTACTCATCGGCTCCTGCAAGGCACGGGGCACTCCCTGATGCCTCCCACTGCACTGGGGGGCTCTGCCACAACCTCCCAGAAGCCCTGATGGCCACTGCAGCAGCCCTTGAGTGCAGGCATTTTTTTTTTTTTTTTTTTTTTTTTTTAAGTGCCAGGATGCTGGGGTCCCCCCCGTGGACCCCTCCCTCTTGGTCCAGCCCCACCTTTACTTACCAGCATTGAGTCCGAGTCCAGCTCCCTGTGGTGGCAAGTGGGGACTGACTGACAATCTCCCCAAATCGATTCAGACCTTTTTTACTGGACTCCCAATTCAATTCGGATTCAGAGATTCAGCTACCAAATCGGGCCGAATCTCCTCCAAATTGAATCAGCACCCGAAACTTCACACAGATTATACTTCCCAGAGCTTGACTTGGAAGGATTCTGGGCCTGTAAACTCAGACATCCTTTCCAATTTAAAGTTCCAAGGGAGATCTCATACCAACTACCTTGGACAGCTTCAAAATACTTCCAAATCAAAATAGCTTTCCTAATATATTACTATGTATAAAATGTCATTTTTCATAAACTCACACAGAGAAGAACTGCCATTGTAGGCAAGCTAAATTTTACCTTTTGTATGCACCCCTAATCTGTAGGATCCAAATGTAAATATTTTTCCTCCAACATTTTCTATTACAGACTGTGGAAGATTCTAGTGGAAGAAAGAAACAACCTTGTTATTTTAAGTCATATATTCAAACATACTTACTGCAAGGGAAATATAAAAGGAAAATAATTTAGAAAGTGCATGCTAATTACACAGATTAAAATATGTATGACAGTCATTTTAAAATACACCAACAAATGGAGATGTGAAAGGTTAAAGAATTACTCGTTTAACTGATGACCCCAGTAGTAACTGGTTAGCCTACCTGTTGTTGTTTAGCACAGGATAGGAAGTGAAGCCACCCAGTGCCCCAGCAGGAACCAGAAGGCAGCAGGGGTAGGAGAGGGCTGAGGGGGATTTAGTACCCATAACTTACAAGTAGGAATCTCCATAAATCATGCTAAAAGTGTCCCCCTGCAGCAGCTTCTTTAATGTTTTTCATTTCACCGCCCCCCCACCCCTGCCGGGATTGGCAGAAGTTTTAAATATGCTGCGGTTTTCCCTTCCCCAGCAATCTCAAGGGCTCAAGAGGGGTGGGGGGTGCAAAACAAAAAACACTGAAGGAGCCACTGCATTGGAAGTGCCCCTTGCAATCTATGGAGATCCCTACCTCTGAGGTTAAAGAGAAAAAACAGCAGGC